GCAGGCGACACCACACGACCTTTGCCTGACCCCTTGGCGTCTCGGACCACGTCATCGGCCGGTATGTGGCAGCTTGAAGTGGGTTGCTGGTTGGACGTTTGTTAAACCCAAACCTGTTCAGCAACGTTTTTCTTTGGATGCTATGAAACAGCACCTTAAGCTTGGTACTTCTAAAGCTATTGAGCTCCAGTCTGCTGTAACAAGAATAGTGACTGCACACACAGGCTCTGGGACTCTAGCGGACTCTAGCGCAGGTTAACAGAGCGGTCCTGCAGGAGTGTCAGCGACTGTTTCCGAAGCTGCAATCTCGCGCAACGCGCCCGGGCCGTACAGAGTCGGTGACACAGCGCACTCAGAAAATGAGGGCTTCTCACGAAGCGACGCAGCAATCGGTTGGGGGTCCGTTGTTTAGGCGTAGTGCTGAATTAGTGCGGCGCCGACTTCAGAGTTTCAGGCCAGAACAAAGGAGCTGCGAACAGCCTCAAGAGCGGCGCGGAAACAGTGGCTAGTTGATCTTCTGCATGAGGCAGAAGAGGCGGCAACTGCACACAACCATAGCGCTGTTTATCGGGTTATTAATACCATTGCTCCCCGTAGGAGAAGAGAGCAGGCTCTGCGCTAGTGGTCAACTCCTCACTAAGGGCGACGAGTACGATGAAATTTATCAGTACTTCAGCAAAGCCCAAGCAGACACAGGAGCTGTGCTAGTGCCGGACGTTGCGGAACTTCTCACTGCAACACTGGCCTTGAAAGGAGGCAAGGCAGTACCGCGCCAGAGCATTCCTGCAGATGTTTGGAAGCTGTGTCCGCAGCAGTTTGCAGAATTCATGGCCACTACCCTGGCACAGTGCCAAGCTGCGCAAGCGCTTCCGCCATCTGAAATTGCCGATTGCGAACTGTCCCTCCTACCCAAGCCGGGCAAGTTCAACCGGAGACCCCAGGACTTACGGCCACTAGGACTTCAGGACCCCAGTGCCAAGGTCTATGCCATTGTACTGCGAGAACGCTTGCTAGCCATTACGCACGGTCGCATACTGGCCAGCAATCAGCATGCTTACTGTCCTGGTAAATCCATTGACATTGCCATAGCCAGGGTCTCCCGCTTCTGTTCGGAAATACGCGAGCGGGTTCGAGTCGGGGTACTCAATGTGCATCAGAAGCGTGCTGGACAAAGGGAAAGCACCTGCTATGGGGGTGCAATATGCTCAGCTTAGATCTGAGTCGTGCCTTTGACTCCCTGACTCGACCAGCCCTGGAGTCTTCGCTCCGTGCCTCAGATGTGCCCGACGATCTGTGCCAGGCAATTCTCCAGGTGCACAATCAATGTCGTTACACTGTCCGGCATCATGATTATCAGGGTCGCTTTCCTATGCAAGTTGGTGTTCGCCAGGGTTGTGCATTGTCACCGTTGTTGTACACTCTGTACACTGTACACTTAATGGAGAGAATAGAGGCCAGAACGTCGCGAGCATGGGTCCAGGCCCTCTTTACGGCCTTTGCAGATGACAAGCATCTCGCTTGGCGCGTTGAGACGCTTAATGACCTTGCCTTTATGTGTCACTGTTTGCGCGTCACCTTTGAGCTGCTTGCCGCGGACGGTATGCAGGTCGATTCGACCAAGTCCAAGCTTGTTCTTTCCCTTCGAGGGAGCGCTGCGGCGCGCTGGGTCCGTAAACATAGCCGCAAAACGGATGACGGCGTCCTTGTCAATTTTCGGGTTCCCCATAATCCCATTTGGGTTCCTAAGGTTTCCTCCATAGTGTACCTTGGAATCGTTGCCTCCTTTCACGGCTACGAGATGCAGACCCTGCAGCATCGCGTCCAGGCAGCGGCCCAGAACAGGCATAGATTGTTGAAAGTCCTGCACAATAAAATACTCACTGTGCATGAAAGGGTCCGACTTTACTGTGCCTGTGTCCGAAGCGCCCTGTTTTATGGCTTGCACGCCACTGGCCTCACGGACGCAGCACTTCGGCAAGATCAGGGCCCTTAGCGCTATAGCTAAATCCCCTGTACACCTTACCAAGGAAAGCAACGAAGCCCTACGATCCCGACTCCGAGTCCTTTCACCCACGAAGTGTCTCCTAAAACTTCTTGACAAAAGATCACTGGCCGTGTCAGAGGCTGACAGGCCCTGGTTTCAGCAAATACGGGTCGATCTGCTTGCAGCTGCCAGTGCACCGCCAGAGTCGATGGAAGTGCATTTGTCTGCGGAAGGAGTGCCAGGTGTTCCCTGCCCGGAGTGTGGTGTTGTTCAGTAATCATCGTGTCTTGCTTTCCCATAGATCTAGATGGCACGGTGTTACCAAAGCTAAGCGTCCCAAGCTGCCTGCGCATACACACATGCAGCACTCCGTGGACGGTATGCCGCACTGTCGTCACTGTGGTCGTAAGTTTCAGCGTTTTGAAGGCTTTCGCAAGCACGTCGAAGGAGCATGCCCAGTACTCTTCCCTCCTAAGCCTGCAAACCCCACCAGTCATGCAACGAAGTCTGAAGCTGGTGTTGAAGTGCAGGGAGCTTCACACAAGGAGGTGCCCATAGGTACGGCACCTCTCGCAGACTTCGCAGATGCTCCAGGACCCCTTGTGAAAGATCCCGAATTTCGGGAGATGTCGTTGAAGCAGTGGAAGTCCGTGTTGCAGACCTCAAAATATCGCCAACAGCTCGGCACGCACTGCATTTTCTGTGGCCAGTGGGCCACATAAGACTCGCGCATCAGTTCACACGTTCGTTGCATCTTGAGTCTGTGCAGTGTTGCAATCCGCTTGGCTTGACAGCAGACAGCCCCTGCAAATACTGCGGGACCGCTCACGCCCAACCGCGAAGACACTTGCAGAGCTGCTCAGCTGTGTACCAGGCATCTCTCGCAAACCTGTACTTCCGCTCACAAACCCTGCCATCCGCTGAGGACCAACATCGGCGAGGAGAACCGCCGAGCGGTGGCTGCGGACGAGGCCAAGGAGGTCTTCGGTGGCTTGGCTGCTCTTTGTCGCAGGCAATGGAGACCCACCAGACCCAGAAGGATGCCAACGCGGAGAAGGACGCGGACTGGGACAGCGGGACGAGCCGAGAAAAGGCCAAGTTTCAGCGGAAGGGAGAGTCGGCGGCCCAGGACGAGTCGGGCCAGCTGGACCAGGCCACGCAGCATCTGATCCAGTCGATGACCAAGTTGGTCCTTCGACACGAAGGGGAGTTGGCTCATCTCCGACGGGAGATGGGGTACATGATGTTCGTGGACACTGAGCAGTACTCTTGCCTGGAGACCCTGAAACAAGCTGCGGCGAAGTGGCAAGAGCTGTACGCGAACAACAAAGTCACCTCGCCTCTGGGGCTGACGCTGATGCTGGGCCTGGTCCAGACTCTGCGGACCAAGCTCGAGGAGCTGCTCCGGGACGAGACACTCCTCCAGCGCTACAAAAACTGCGGGTGGATCAGCGATGGCGCCAATGCCTTCTCACCGATGTGGCATTATTTCGAGTGGAATCCCACCGACAAAAAGGAGTTCCAATCGTCGACCCCTCCGCTCCCTCACAGCCGAACTATGGAGATTCTGGAGGAGATGGAACGCTTTCTGCCACAGCAATGGGGTTCTGCTGAAGTTCCGGGCCACGAAAGACATCACCAAAGATCCTCAGGCGGGGGTGGTGCCCTTTGTGATCACGATCGGCCTTCGCACGGAAGGGGCCCAGAAAGTCTTCGAGGGCCTCCGACTCCTCTCCGGAAATGCGGTGATGAAGTTGCTGGGCACAAGCCTAAGGCCGTTCCGGAACGCGGCCAGCGCCAGCCCTTGGCCAAGCAGGTGGAGACGGCCTACAAGGCCACGCACTACTGCGACTGGCAGAAGGAGCAGAGCTGGAAGCAGCCGGTAGGTTGATCGGCTACTGTTGCACTTAGGGAAGTGCAACGCTGGGAGCGCCCCCCTCTCAGCTTACCGCAAGCCACACTCCGTAATCCCCATAATGTTTGCTACGTTAACTCTTGTGTTCAGGCCTTCTTCTGGAATGGTGCCCTGGCCGGAGATGATACCACCGCATGTGGATCTCTCAAGGCAGGCGTGAATGCACTCAGAGTCAGGGGTTCGCTCTACCTGCCGGATAGCCTGCAGTGGCGTTTCCTGTTCGCACAGTGGTCGAATCTTCGACAGCAGCACGATGCAGGTGAGTTTTGTCAACACGTGGCGTCGTACTATGCCGCCTGCTTATTCCGGACACTGGGAGTCGCGCCTGACACTCCCTTTCCAAATCACGGACTCAGGCGAGCTGACATCTCCGGTTCTGCTTCATCTTGCAGGAGCCAATCTTGTCACGCTGATTCGCCGCTGGCGTGATCAATACGCCGTGTCAGCGCTTGTCAAGCATAGTGGTCTGGTAGTCCTGCAACTGTGTCGCTACAGTGAAGATGCCGGTAAGAATCGTAGCCCCATACCTCTGCTGCCAGGAGCGCGCCTCACACTGCCGATCTTTGAGGGTGAAAGCAGCACTGATACCCGGGAGAGCAAAGATGAGAGTTCTACGTCTGCAATGATAACACCTCCCCTCGTAAGGCTAAAAAGGAGGATCACGACACCATAGCTGCCAATGGCTACTTGATTGGCCTCCTCCGGGCTGAATAACAGCGGTTTCTGCCGATTTGCACAGTTGATCCCTAGGGAGTCAGTGGCACTGCTCAAAGTGCCTCTACCATGCATGATGCCGAAGCGCGATCGTGCAGTTGTTCCACGCCAAAACAAGTCAGTCTGCCTAATTTGCGAGTCAGCAGATTTGCCGTCACTTGCATGCTATTCTTTTGCAATCAGCACATACCTCGTTTTTGCCTCGCCTCCTTTGTTTCTTCCCAAGCCAGTTTTGCAGCGGGATCTGTTACGGGGTGCCTGAATCGCATCACTGCCACGGCCTCAGCACTGTGTCTGCATGTGGGTTCTGCGTGCTTTCTTCACTCCGGGTTGCTTTGACATTCTCTAGACAGGGCTTGCGCCCCTTTTCTTCAGACTGCAGATCGCATGGCTGCAGAGTGCCCGCTCCCAGCTGACATTTACACAGAAGTGCTTGAAAGCCACCTGCTGCTAGCGTGTCTGGCCTCGCTGCTTAAATCACAAGATGGCTCTATTCTGCCACCCAGCTCCAGTATGCTTTGTCGTAATGATATTTTGCGGGAGGCGAAACAGCTTTTGGCAGCGGACAGCTACACCGACTTTCTGTGTTACTCAGCGGAACTGAGCGAGGCTCTGCCCTCCTTCCCAAATGCCATCCTGCCAGAAGCGGTCCCCCTCTCCGGTGAGGGTCACGGCACGGCCGAGTCTCTGGCCTCTTGCATCCTGGAAACAGGCAATGCCTCGATCTGGGAAGCTGTACGCCGGGTCATAGGACAGCTGCGCTTTGAAAAACCCAGGCACAGATCCATGGCAAACCAGCAGGGCGCGCTCAGCTTTACTGTCGGTATATATGCACGGCATCAGCTGGTGGGACTGAGCAAGGCAACGCTCGTACACTCCAATGTTTGCAAGCTTCTCTGCTCGTATGTCGCCCACCTGTGCTCAGGCTTTTGCTGGACAACGCTTGTCGTGCACCGCAATTACGCCACGCCTGTACACCGCGACCCAGCCAACGGCCCTTTCTCCAATCTTCTGACCATGGTTAGCACCACGGATTGTGGTGGGCTCTGGCTGCAAGATCCGACGGGCAGTGACTTTCAGGAGGTCCCGGATGGCATGTGTGGAGGCAGATTTATCCAGCTACTAGATCAGTATCTCATTTTCCCTGCGCATACTCATTGGCATGCCACGCAAACCTGGGGACACTATGATCGTTACACGCTGGTTGCCTACAAAGTGAGAAACTGGACACATTTGCCTGCGGCTATGCAAAGCACCCTACAGTCCCTGGGATTTCAGCTGCCAGAAGACCCGCGAGCCATCACCCCATTGCACACTGGACTGCGCGCTTTTCCAACCATTCTGCTTGATCCGGTCGCCTAACGGCGTTACAGTCAAGTTCAGACAGCATGCAGTCAGCTGTTTTGTTGCAAGGGAAGATTCATGAGGCTCCGTTTGTCATGGCATGGGGCGAAACGCAACTTTCGCTTCCAGCAGCTGTTTACTCCTGTACAGCCGACCTGCTAGATGCTGCCAGCAAGTGCGAAACCTGCTCTCTTGGGCATAGGTCCCTTCTCCCAAGCCGTGCCTCTCTCCTTTGCCCCCTGCCCCTAGTCCCTTGGCTCTTGTCCCTAACCCAGCGCGCTGCAATTGTTGCTCTGCTGCCACTGACGCATCCAGTTGTGGAACCATATGTTGCGCCTCACATGCCGAGGTCGCCCCTATGTCCACGCGGGATCCAGCAGAGGCTCCAGCGGAGGTTCGGGATGGAAACTATGTACAAGGCGGCAGTTCTGCTACAGATGAGCAGGAAGATAGCCATATGGGATCACCATCCATAGGTCTGGATGGTGGTGGTGGAGTGAATCCAGCGCCTTTAGGTCAGGGCGTTGGGATCCTCCACAAGCGCTGCACGACGCCAGGATGTGGCAGGAGTTTTTACTGCTCAGCCAACGCTCGGCATCGTCATTGCTGCTCTATTTGTGGCACAGGCTTTCACACCAATCGCTGCCGTAAACTGCAGCGGGCTATGCGGGGAGCCGGAGTCGAGAAGGATCAGCACCGCAATGCTCATCTGGGACGCCCGGCGCAGCCGCGTTCGGTTGGCTCTGATGGCATCAACGATCGGAACAGTTCAGGCTCAGCGGCTGCTGTTCAGGCAGCAGCACCTCCGCCTTCGAACACTGCCTCCACTTTCTGCATGGATGCTACAGCAGCTTCGGTCAGCAGCAGGTCTCCGATGAGTTCTGAGGTAGCCGTGGCGAGCTTCAGCTCCAGTAACCCTGGTGGCGCTGCTGGTCACTCCGATGGCCTACCTTACCATTCTGAGGGAGTGCAGGTTCAAGCATCTGATGGTTCTTCTGCGAGGGAATGTGCTATTGCTCTAGATTTGGATGCAATGGACTGAGAAGTCTACTGCTGTGTGTCTTCAAAGGAATCAGGCAAGGCTCCTGATGCTGCCACAGAGCAGCCGGATCTTAGATCTGTCCTACCCTCGTCGAGCATCGGTACTCCGAGAGACGCTGTTGAATGAATACGACTACAACTACGACGACGACTACTACTACTACTACTACTACCACTACTACTACTACTACTACTACTACTACTACTACTACTACTACTACTACTACTACTACTACTACTACTACTACTACTACTACTACTACTACTACTACTACTACTACTGCTACTACTACTGCTACTACTACTACTGCTACTACTACTACTACTACTACTACTACTACTACTACTACTACTACTGCAGAACCACAACAGCTGTAGGGCCTCCACAAGCTTCTCGTGTTGGAGAGGAGGCCTGCTTTCGTCCACCACTAGGCCACTAGGCTCCCCAGTGCTGGCACCAACCACTTCTGACAGCACCAGTGGCCGTCCTTCAGCCACTTCATCTCCTCCGCCTTGGCCTGGAATGGGGTGGGATTCTCGGTGCCAATCGACTTCAGTCCCGTGTGCAGCATCTGGATGAGGCACCCGAAGAGTGTGGTGCGTAGCGCTGTCGTTGTCTGGTTGGCTTCCTGAGCTTGCTTCCACCGTTGGGCAGCCTTGTACAAGAGAGGCAACGGGCCCTGGGCATCCGGTTGAAGAAACAGCACGCAACTGTAGTCGTCCAGCGCATCTCAGAATGGCTTTGCTCTTTGAGGGGCTAACCAGCATACCCTTGTCGGCTAGTACACGAAGCAGCGCAGCGATGCGGAGAAGTGTCTCCTCAAGCTCATGTTCAGTGTGCCATATACCTGAGCAGTGATAATCATCCGCGAAAATGCTCAGTAGGTCTATTGTGGCCTGGTAGCCGATCTTGGCTGCAAGGGACTCACTGATGTGGTGTGAGAAGATGAGCCAGAGGAGGGGCGCTACGGCGCAACCCTGCCTGACTCCTTGTGTCGCATGTATAACACGATCAGTGCCGTCGTGATTGATGTGATAATGTGCGTTTTGGTGCCAGCTCATGACAATCTGGATGAGCATGGACGGCAGCTTCATGTTCTGCATGCTGGTAAGGAGCAGATGCCGGGGCATAGCGTCGAAGGCGCCAGCCAGGTCCAGGGTGACCTGTACGCCACCAATCAGTCTGCGCTTGGTGTGGCCTTCGAATTTATCATGAAGGGTGCTGTGTTGGGCTTGGCATTGGGCTCGGACTTCATGGCAGTGGTCGAAGACACGCCGTAATGCGTCCCGATGAGATCGACCTGGCGTGTACCCATACTGAGGAATACTGCATGGTGAAGATGTTTCTGTGCTGTTGATAGGGCTCTATAAGGGCTTTAGGTTTAAAACGTGAGTTTCCCAAACTGATCTTGAAGGCCAATCGGTCTGTAGTGTCCCGCCTCTTTGCCCGTTTTGGCAGGCGTTTTGAGAAGAACTAAGTGTGCATCCGACCAGTCCGCGGGGACGGTGACGCTTGTCTGTGTCCACTGGGTATCCAGGACACTACAGACTGTGTTGGCTGCGATGTCCGAGCATAACCTCCAGATCGCGCTGGGAGGGTGATTTGGTGGCACCGCTTTGCGCAGGGGCGCTTGTCTGAGGTGTTGTTCCAGAACAGCTGGACAAATGACCTCGGTGACTTCAGTCTCTGGTCGTGAGGGTGAGGGGTCCAGAGCCGAAACTTCCATAAGTGACGTTGAGGCCTCAGGAGGCGCAGTGAATTTTGTGGTGAAATGAAATGTTGATGAAAGCTGGTGGCCTCCTCGCTTCTACTCAAAACCTGACCGTTTGAGTCCCTAAGCTGGGGTCGTCTGTGCCTGGCTTTAGGGGCGAGGGTTCGCACCACTTGCTAAAGCTTACGTTGATTGTGTTGTTGAGCTGCCTGCTCTGCAATCTGCATTTGCTCCAGGATGTAAGCTTTCTTAGTGGTTCTGCAGGTCTCCTTGTGTTGTTTGTAGAGTTTGTAGTGCTGCGTCCATGTGCGCCAGCGCCCGATGATGGCTCGCAGTGTGGTGTCTCTAGTGCTGCGGCGATAGTAACGCCAGGCTTTCCACATGTCCTTGATACCCATCCTCGTTTGAGACTGTTGCCATCTAGTGATTTTTGCAGCGTTCGGCTGTGCTTTGGGGAAGTGAGTGGCAGCAACACGCTGAACAATGTCGGAGATGGTACCTGCATCGGCCACCGTGCGCACGTGGTCAAGCTGCGTAGCAAGCTCACTTCGAAAACTGGCAATTTCCGGAATAGCGCTAGGATCTGGTATTTGTGCAAGCTGAATGATACGCTCCGTGTCGACCTGAGGTTTGGGGGTGGTAATTTTTCGAAATCTGGAACCGATGTGGAAGTGCAGCAACCATGTGGATGCCCCCTCCCTGCCTCCAACCCCCAACAGGACAGTTCACTAGTGGACTGGCTTGTTTGGCCTCACGCGTGCATTGGCTTTGCCTGGTGATTAGGTAATCCAGCTGCGCTCGGTGTTTGCCGAATTTGAATGTACGAGCTTTGTTATTTGGTGCCCCGCAAGTGTTGAGTGCTATGAGCGAGTGGGTAAACGAGTGGGTAGATAGCACCGTGTGAGCAGCCGCAGCATCCGGGGCCCGCTCAGCAGAGAGGGCTCCCGTACCGTGTCCGACATGCGGGTGTTGTGGCGAGAGCTGCACGTTGAGGTCTCCCCCCACTATGAGAAGTTCTGTGTGCGGCACACTACCGATACACCGACTGAGATTTTGCCAGAACTCTGCTCTCTTGTCCAGGATGTGCGCATCCCGTGGCGCCCACGCATGCTGATATGCACATATCAGGCTGAGCATGCGGCCTGAGGTGCCAAGTGGAAAGCGAACACGGAGGAGTCGACCTGGGATCATGGCATCATGTCGCACTTCTGTGGCATCCGTGAGTTTGCGGCGAATGGTAGTATTACTACTACTGCTACTACTACTCCTACTACTACTACTACTGCTACTACTACTACTACTACTACTACTAAACTACTACTTCTACTACTACTACTACTACTACTACTACTACTACTACTACAACTACTACTACTACTACTACTACAACTACTACTACTACTACTACTACTACTACTACTACTACTACTACTACTACTACTACTACTACTACTACAATTACTACTACTTCTGCTTCTACTTCAACTTCCTGCTTCTACTACTGCTGATCCTCCTCCTCCTCCTCCTCCTACTCTCTCTCTCTCTCTCTCTCTCTCTCTCTCTCTCTCTCTCTCTCTCTCTCTCGATGCGCAAACATCCGAAGACGTCTTTGCGTGGCCCCTTTGGGCGACCTACATGAGGCCGGCTATCACGACGGACAGCTTAGACCGGGGCAAAACGAGTCGCAAGCTCGGTAGCTTGCAAAAGCAGCGAGGCTTGGTACATTAACATAACTGGTAGCTGAGCGACATCCGGACCGATAGTCCCAATGAGCAATGTCGCTTTAAGCTGTACAGCAACGAAGCGGCTATGCCGGACGTTGTAGGCTACGAGCTATTTCGTTGACCCGAAGGCCCTTGAAAATCGACAAATGAATAATCGCAGTCTCTCAGGCTTTCCCTCTCAGTACACGATTGCAGCTTTCACGTCCCGTACCTTCCACGCCATGGTGCCAAACAGCTGCTTGGGTTAGAAGACCTGCGTGTGTGTGAGGAAACATCTTTTACCGTCCCTCGTGTGCCATGCATCTTCACTCCTCCACTTGAGAGGCCGCTGGCTGATATGGATCAGCAATGGCCGCATCCTGCGAACATAGCCGGAATCCCTGCTCTAGCAGGAGTGATGTGGCTTGTTGTGTAAGCCGCCAGTCATCCCGGATATGAAAAGTGCCCAAAACAAATCGCTCCCCCGTCCACGGAAGAACTGCATGTGGGCGCCTGGAGTTGAATCGAATGCATGGCGCCGTGAGCTGTCTGACCAATCCCACAGGTCCATCTGGCTGAAGTTGATAATTGCCGGCTTCATCTGCATGCCACAGCTCGCCCCCTTGCCAAACACTGAGCGGGACCAGCGTGTTGTCAATCAAGGCATGATTGTGTGAGTCCACATGCAAACCACTGGGAACATTCAAATGAAGAAAAACGCTGCTGAAAAGTATCTCTGGGCTCACAGACTGCACGATGCGACATAACAATCGAGCGGTCCATACCTCCGTCTTGGTGGGATTAAGAACACCAGCAACGCCTCCATGAATGCAAGCTCCCAATGTGATTGAGCGCGGCTCAACATCCACAGCATGAAATGTAGAAACGTGTCTTTCATGCAGCTTCACCGGTAGCATATCGAAGAGCCTGCGAAGCGTAGTGAACCGAACATAATGCATGCGAAGGCAGCCCTGAGCTAACGCCTCCGAGGCAGTTTGAGGTTGCGGCTCATCCCAATCCCATCCTCATACAAGCTCAGAGAGGATTCAGCAGAAAGTTGCTGATGCAATGCATGGACGAAACGAGTTTGGGCCTGCAATCGCTCACTCTGGTCGGCACTGTGGGTGCCCTTGGATTGCTGTGACTTCTTACGCCGTTTGGGCTGTGGCTGTGACTCGTGGATCGTCTCTGTCGCCTCCGGCTGAGAGCAGAGTATAATCTCAGGTTCGCCCTTGTTGTTCAGAGGAATGGGCCACATGGCAGTCGAAGCTATGCAAACACTGAGCCACAGCCTCACATGATTGCATCCAGTCCTCAAGTTGGCTCGCGAGACTCAAATCCCAGCACGTAATGCCAAAACAGAGGGGCACTTGAAGACTGCGTGACCGAAGGTATTGCGATGGTGAACTCCCGAACGAAGACCTGAGACCTGAGAGGGTCAAAGGCAGGCGCAAGAGCGGCAGGCGCAAGAACAACATGCCGATAGCGAGTGTATCAGCAAAGTGCGGATGCGTATTTGTTCGCATCTGCCGTGGCAATGGCTTCACGCCCAGTCGGAGCCATTCATCAGCATGCTCGTGAGCACTTTGTCATTCTGGGTGTCTGTTGCACCACACTGAATTGTCTCCATTGATGTGGATCTAGATCGGGATCGTGATCCGGACAAAATCAAAACGCCTTGAGCGACTGTGTGTTGCACGGCTGCCGAGGAAAAACAAGAGTACATAGACCGGCCCGATAGGGCCCAGCTGAGTCAGCATAGCATCTATGCACATCACGCGTCCCGGCTCAAAGTCAGACTGCGCTTCAGCAGTCCGCATGCTGATGGCTGAAGCTCCCACCGCCCTTTTTCATAGCATGCCCCGTGCACGCCGGCTGCGCAAGTGGCGCAGACCTCGCCTGTAGCCGTCCTCACCCTCGCTGCGGAGCCACGATGGTTTTCTGGACCTGATTTGCGAGATGGGATCTCTCTGGCCTCTCAGGGCGCCATGCCAAGGCCATAAGTTGGGTAATGGAGCAGCCCGTCAACTCGCTCATGTACTTCCTAAGTTGAGCCGCTTCATCTCCGAACAAAGCCAACTGCATGCTGAAGGTGATCGTAGCGCCTTTCATATTCGCTTCCATCTGCCGGCTTGGATGGAACCTCGTCGCTGGCCCCGTCTGGCTCACAAGGACGCGTATGGCTTCCACCGTCGCGATTCCTTGAGCATGCGGGAGCGGCGTGCGAGCCTCATCAGGTCTGAGCCTCTCATTCTCGGCATCCCTAGCACCAGTCTTTGGTGTCAGGCACAATCCAGCCGAGCTTGGTCATGTTCTCCTGAGTCCTCTCCTGCTGGGGAAAATTGCTCAGCCTGGCTGTAAACTCCCGGAACAGACACGAGAGAAGATTGACCCTCTGCGGTTTGTCCACGGAGCCAGGGTCCGCTTCTTTGGCCTCGCGCCAGGCTTGCTGCGCCTGAAAGAGTGCAGGCACCACCGATGCTGGCACTCCCATCCTCATGAAGATAGCATATGAGGTTTCAGGACGAAGCCCACTCAAGTAATCCTCATGTCTCAGCGTGAGACGCTGAAGCTGGAAAACACTTTCTCGGAGCGCCTGAAGTTCCTGCTTCACTTCGGAGCTCGAGCTGGCGCGATCCTGGGAGCGCTGGTCCCAAGACTGCCAGCCTCTCTTAGCTTTGCCCCACGATGCCCATGGGTCATCCTCCTGCTTCTGTTGTCCCTTTCCACGATGTTGTTCTTTGGATCCATCTGCTGCTTTGGCAGTGGGAAGTCCCCTAGCATCTCCATCCGTCTCCCCTGATTCCGCATTGGCCGCTGGGAGCCCGCTTTCAACCCCCGAGGAACATTTGATCTTCAAGGGCATCTGTGCGGTCCTCCATCTCAAGGTCCGGATGCGAGTTAAGCTCCGTCATGGCAGTCAAAGGAGGGGTGGCGGTAGGAGCTCAGCAGCTTTTCAGCCAAAGGACATACACATTCGATTCAATGTGTTCATCCAACTCAATTCGCTGCGCAAACTGTTCGTCGTCTGTGATCCACCATTGTGAACCCACTTTGAGGATCGAACGATAGTGTCCACTTTGGGTGGTCCTGCCCAGGTGTAGAACTGCTGCTGTGACCTCGTATCTGTCCCACACCACACGAACGTGCTCAGCAAAGCGAGGAAAAAGAACAGTCCTGTTGAAGCAAATGGGAGTCAAGAGCTTGGAGGCCCGACCATGCCTGACATAGCGATTGAGTTGTATACACAGGCAGGATGTACTGTGCGCCAAAGCGTGAGTATCGCTATGTGTATTCCAGTGATGCATAACATCTTGTAGGTCCCGCGCATGAGAAGGGAGCGGCATCGGTATGGGAAGATCGCCTTGTGCACGAAGTTGAAAGCCTGCAAGTCCGAGACGTCTGGCATCCCACTGAGCTGCATGAAGGCCCTGAGCCTGAAGAAGTTGTTGTATGTACTCGGCGGAGTCTTTCTGAACCTCATTATATACCCAGTTCGGAGCGAGCTGTCTAAATCGGAACATTTGGGTCAGCTTGAGGGGCGATCCACGGTCTGCTGCAGTGCGGACCACGTTGAGAATGTACTGCAAGGAGTGAGGACTGATACCTGCCATGCTTAGACCGTGCGTCATTGCGAGAAAGCCAGCGTTGATGCAACAAAGGTTGTGAGGATTGCTCAGCCTGAGTCTGCTTTGCCATGGGCCATCAGGCGCTGAAGTAGCCGCCCGTGTGACCACCTGAGCAACGGTTTTCCGCGGCTGAAAGAAGCATTTGATGGTGCCATCCTGTTCGGCTCGAGGCACTGACACCGCGGGGGCCGCACTGGTCGACGACGAGGTTGTAGTACCATTCAGAACCTGAGGAGCACGGGGCGCGATGTCACACTGCAGGGCCCTGTGTGTGGGGGCCATGTAGTTCTTGTACTGAGGGTTTTGCTTGTCCTGCTTGGGCGCAGCTGCTTGCTTGTACGCGTAGCAGGAGACCTGAAGATTTATATGTCGAAGATGCCGTAGCGCTGCAACTTGAAAGAAGCTGGGACACTTGCGTGAGTGTGTTTTGGAGTCTTTGGGCTGGCTGCCGCAGAATTGGCAAGGATGCTTGAACACCGCAGACATACTACCTGCCAGGGATTCGGCTGCCACCTGTGATTTCAGCCAAGCCATCTTGTGGCCCGTTCGCCAGTGCGTCTTCATGTGGCCTGGCCCGACGATCCGCTGATTACAGATGACACACTGGCCCGTGACAGTCCGAATCTTATCAGCGAATTTGGGAAGCTGGGAATCAAGTACGCTGAGAACCGGGTGTTGCGAGTCCGCAAGTGGGCCTTCCATCGTCCAGTCAGGATTTGGCGGTGGTGGAGGGCTGCCAAGCTCTTCCTGCTCAATCTGATTTGTTAGCTCAGCTAGCGAGATCCCTTTGGCGAAAGCCTCCTTGACTGCTGGGCACATCCCTTGCGTCAGATGTTTGCGGATGGACTGCCAGTCTGCA